CCTCCTTGAGCTCCTGGTGTTTCTCTAGTTTCTCATGTTCCTTTTTCCTGATATTACCATCGCTTGATTTTGTGATGTTCCACCACGGCTCTGCTCTGTTTCTTCTCCACCTCCACTATGTCTGGTTGGTTCATCTCCATCCTGTCAGTCTGGATCTGAAGTCCCACAGGATCTTGGCTCAGTCGTTCTCCACAATCTTTGGAGGTGTTTCCCACCTTGATCCTGGGGTCTCCAGCCTGAACTCTGCTCACAGATGTTTCTGTGACTCTGTCTCCACTTGGTTCTGTGGCTCCATGTTTGTTTCCCTGCAGCATCTGACACCTGCAGTTCTGTGCTGGACTGTGTCAGGAGCCTCTTCATACAGTCGACACCGTGGGTCTGGTCTGGTGTGGTAGATCTGAGCCTCTATTGCTCGAGTGCCCAGGGCCTGTAGTACAGTACAGTAAAGTGTATTTACTATTTACCTCATTCTTTCTTTTTACAACTGCTTTTACAACTCTCTCTTATGTAACAGAAAACCCTGTGTCCTGTCAATCATCATCTCATCTTTGCTCTGTTTTTCCTTACGACCTCTTGTATAAACCTGAGATATTTTAACTATTTATTTCTATTTTATTTGATTTTGACTTGTACATTTACATTCATATAATCACGCCTATTTTTGCTACTGCTTCTTTAGAATTTATTATTACCATTTATATTTTTTCTCTTTATTATTATTGATCATATATTGTGATGTGTGACTCCTGTGTCCAAATCATTTCACTTGTGGATCAATAAAGTTCGTTTAAGTCTAAATCTAAGTCGTATCTTTTTAAATAAGTAACACCACAGGCTACACACACACACACACACACACACAGACACACACACACACACACACACACACACACACACACACACACACACACACAGTGGCCCCTCTCGAACCCGGGGCCAAATCTGCCTAATTGAGACAGACTGTTAATGGCACACGCAGCCGACCAATCAGAACGAAGGAGTGTGTGGTTACCGGGTAGAACCAGAGAGGAGGAGGAGGAGGAGGAGGAGGAGGAGCGGAGGGGTCAGGGAGGTGGGCTCCATATGGCACGGCTCGGGGCCTCTTTTGTGCCCTGACAGAGAGTCTGGGGAGGGGCCCTCGTGTCGTGAGGGTTTTAAAAGAAAGAAAGAAAGAAAGACACTTGTGCATTTTTATAAAAGCTCCTCCTCTTGATCCAGACAGAACTTCACCTGCAGAGTCTCAGTTTCTGTTTCTGTCTTCAGGCGTCACGTGAACTCTCCAGAACCCCCCTCCCCTGAGCTGCAGACGCTGCACTAGCACTGACTCAGGATGGAGCAGGTGCTGGGGTTTATACTTCGGTCACTTTCTTTCTTTCTTTTGGGTTATTTCCTGAAAACTGAAGCAGCCTGAGGACATAAATGTGACTTCAGAGTAAAACTTGCACCAGCTTGAGAAAGATAAGTTTAATGCCTTATTGTGGAACCTTATCATACCCCTAGAAATGTTGCACAGTGCAGCTTTACGTACAAGTCAAATATAAAGTGATGAGTCCACAATACTCCCTCTAGTGGACACACACAGACACTGCAGGACCCAAAACTCTCCCCTCTCGTCCTCCAGGTTCTGTCCAGTTTAGCAGTTCTGTTTGAAACCAGTTTGTGAGCGAAATGTAGAAGTTTAGTCTCTTTAACTTGTCTTTACTTTATAGACATGACACGGAGTTTGTTCACGCTCTGGTTTGAGGTTCTGGTTTGGGTCTGTGGGCTCTGGTTTGGTCTGGGGTTCTGGTTTAGGTGTGGAGGTTCTGGTTTGGGTCTGGGGGTTCTGGTTTGGGTCTGGAGGTTTGGTTTGGGTCTGGAGGTTCTGGTTTGGGTCTGGGGGTCTGGTTTGGGTCTGGGGGCTGGGGTTCTGTTTGGGTCTGGTTCTGGTTCTGGAGGTCTGGAGGTTCTGGTTTGGGTCTGGAGGTTCTGGTTTGGGTCTGGGGTTCTGGTTTGGGTCTGGAGGTTCTGGTTTGGGTCTGGATTTCTGGACTGGGTCTGGGGTTGGGTTGGTTTGGGGTCTGGGGTTCTGGTGGGCTGACTGACTTTCTGGTTTGCACTTATTGTGGAACCTCATTGGTTCACTGCAGCTTTACGTACTCAGGGAGTCCACACGTGGTCTCTGTGGTCAATGTGGACACACACAGACACTGCAGGACCCAAAACTCTCCCCTCTCGTCCTGCAGGTTCTGTCCAGTTTAGCAGTTCTGTTTGAAACCAGTTTGTGAGCGAAATGTAGAAGTTTAGTCTCTTTAACTTGTCTTTACTTTATAGACATGACACGGAGTTTGTTCACGCTCTGGTTTGAGGTTCTGGTTTGGGTCTGGAGGTTCTGGTTTGGGTCTGGGGGCTCTGGTTTGGGTCTGGAGGTTTCTGGTTTGGGTCTGTTCTGGGCTGGCTCTGGTTTCTGGTTTGGAGTCTGGTTTGGGCTCTGGTTTTGGGTCTGGAGGTTCTGGTTTGGGTTTGGAGGTTCTGGTTTGGGTCTGGTGGAGGTTCTGGTTTGGGTCTGGGGGCTCTGGTCTCCACATGTTTCTTTGATTCATTTATGTTTATCTTTTAATTCCGTCACAAACACATTTGCAGTTTTATTGATATTTGACTCGTGAGATCAGGAGGCGTGTGGAGGACTTGGACACAGAGTCATTTGTAAAGTTTCTCTTCTCTTTGTGCCTCTGGTGTGAACTGACCCGTGTGTCAATACTCCCTCTAGTGGACAAACCAGGAAACAACAGAACGACAACTAAACACAAAGACAAGAGAACACACACACTTTTAGTCCTGGTTCAATCCTGGTTTAGTCCCAGTTTAGTTCCGGATCAGTCCCGGTTTAGACCCGTTTTAGTCCTGTTTTAGTCCCTGTTTAGTCCTGGTTTAGTCCCGGTTCAGTCCCGGTTTAGTCCCGGTTTAGTCCTGGTTTAGCCCCGATTTAGTCTCGATTTAGTCTCGATTTAGTCCTGGTTTAGTCCTTGTTTAGTCCTGGTTTAGTCCCAGTTCAGTCCCAGTTTAGTCCTGGTTTAGTCCTGGTTTAGTCCTGGTTCAGTCCTGGTTTTGCCCTGGTTCAGCTGCACTGTGTAACATTTCGTCTCCATGGAGATATCACGACCACACCTGAAATGTTCCGCAGTGTGACATTTAACACACACATCTTCATCTGCATTTTGGTGTTTTTATCCGTTACAAAAATACTTCCAAAAAAAAACCCACGTCACCTCTCCACAGATCTGACCTCCAACTGTTTAAACCTGCCTATCTCCATGGAGACAAACATCTTATGAAATCGCATTCACCTTACACCAGAAATGTTACACACACTCTCACTTTAAATTATCATTATTTATTTTACAAATGCATTTTTGCCATCACACATTTTGTTGTAAATTCATATACACATGAGTAAATGGCACAGCTTTTACAAAAATACACTTGAAATGATTTAAATTTTAAATATTAATCTTGTTTTGACTTATTCTAATTCATAAAATGTTATTAAGACTATTAAATTAAAATGAGAGGACGAAAAAAACAAAAAAAACCAAAAAAAAACACTGTATCCTGCTGGTGTGGACTAGAATGATGAAGTGTGAGGGACCGTTGCCGTGGCGATTAACAATTTAAAACAAACAAAAATTAATAATAATATAATTTGAATGGTGGATTTTTATTTTAAAAGGTCCAATACGACGCAAAATTAACTCCTGTGAGATTTAAGTCGAGTTCTAACGTTGTTCCCTCCTCAAAAACAAACCTGGACTTTTGTTTTGTTTCAGAAACATTTTTCACGACGGCCGGAAGTTTCCCGATTTAGATTAGCGGAACTGTGTGTAAATGTGTGTGTAAATGTGTGTGTAAGTGTGTGTGTAAATGTGTGTGTGTAAGTGTGTGTGTAAATGTGTGTGTGTAAGTGTGTGTGTAAATGTGTGTGTGTAAATGTGTGTGTGTGTGTGTAAATGTGTGTGTGTAAATGTGTGTGTGTGTAAATGTGTGTGTGTAAATGTGTGTGTAAGTGTGTGTGTGACACTAAGTGTGTGTGTAAATGTGAGTGTGTAAATGTGTAAGTGTGTGTGTAAATGTGTGTGTGTAAGTGTGTGTGTAAGTGTGTGTGTAAATGTGTGTGTGTAAATGTGTGTGTAAATGTGTGTGTGTGTAAATGTGTGTAAGTGTGTGTGTAAATGTGTGTGTGTAAATGTGTGTAAATGTGTGTGTGTGTAAGTGTGTGCGTGTAAATGTGTGTGTGTAAATGTGTGTGTAAATGTGCGTGTAAATGTGTGTGTGTAAGTGTGCGTGTGTAAGTGTGCGTGTGTAAATGTGTGTGTAAATGTGTAAGTGTAAATGTGTGTGTAAATGTGTGTGTAAATGTGTAAGTGTGTGTGTAAGTGTGTGTAAGTGTGTGTGTAAATGTGTGTGTTAGTGTGTGTGTAAATGTGTAAGTGTGTGTAAATGTGTGTGTTAGTGTATGTGTAAATGTGTAAGTGTGTAAGTGTGTGTGTTAGTGTGTGTGTGTGTGTGTGTGTGTGTCTGTGTGTGTGTGTGTGTGTGTCTGTGTCTGTGTGTGTGTGTCTGTGTGTGTGTGTGTGTGTGTGTGTCTGTGTGTGTGTCTGTGTGTGTGTGTGTGTGTGTCTGTGTGTGTGTGTGTGTGTGTGTGTGTGTCTGTGTGTGTGTGTGTGTGTGTGTGTGTGTGTGTGTGTGTGTGTGTGTGTGTGTCTGTGTGTGTCTGTGTGTGTGTGTGTGTGTGTGTGTGTGTGTGTGTGTGTGTGTGTGTGTGTGTGTGTGTGTCTGTGTGTGTGTGTGTGTGTGTGTGTGTGTGTGTGTGTGTGTCTGTGTGTGTGTGTGTGTGTGTGTGTGTGTGTGTGTCCACCGGCGATAATTCCAAAATTTATGGACCGATTGTCACCAAAGTTGGTACGTGGGTGAAGCTCTCATGCCTGATGCCGCAAAAAAAAAAAAAAAAAAAGTTTGGTGACGATTCGAGGTCATTTGAGGTCACACGGGTCAATTGAAAGGATAAAAGACAATTTCGTCAATTTCTGAACCATCTGCGGCCTAAAATATTCACCCAGTCGTCACACAAGTTGGCGCACACATAACCGGGGCACACTGGATGTTACAGGTTGAAACCGGTCAAGGTCACCAAGGTCAAATATGTGTTTTTGGTCATAACTCTGTGAAGGATCGAGCTCGAGCAACGGGAGAGTCTTAGTCCACGTTCAGACTGCAGGGCTTAACGCTCAATTCCGATTTTTTTGTGAAATCCGATGTTTTTGCGAGGTCGTTCACATTTCCAATTAAATGCGACTTGTCTGTGACTCCAGTGTGAACATTAAACGGCCTGAAAGTGTCCCACATGTGACACTGGAGACACGACGACGTCAACCGCAGCGAGCGTCTCTGTGTTTACGGAAGTTGTCCAAATATGGTCGCGAGCATTGAGCACCTGGAGATTTTAAAGTTCCGGTTTCCGCCTGCTTCAGCGCAGAATAGTGACGTTTGTGTCTTGTTGATAACGTGTAGGTGGATGAATGCACTTTGGCCGTTCAGACTGAAGTCACATGTCAAAAGATCAGATATGTATCAGTTTCAGGAGCACAGATCCAAGTGTCCTGGTCACATTTGAAAAAATCGGATCTGTGTGGTTCAGACTGACATTAAAAGATCAGATACAGGAACATAGAGACAAAAAAATCGGATTTGGGTCACTTCAGGCTGCAGTCTGAACGCAGCCTTAAAATCTCAGAAAAATGATCATCTATTTATAATTCTATGCATTTGTATCGTCAAATATGAATAGTTTTGGAGATAATCACTAATTCTAACAGTTCCTTTCTCTTTCAGTGTAGCCGTTAAAATTCGAATTGGAACAAAAATAATTTCCATTTCTTGTTTTTCTGGTGATACACGACACACTGATGTACAGCCACACAACTAACACACACACACACAAACTCATGAAACTAAACACAGACGTTATCATGTGTGACCAACATCACACTAATGTTCATGGGCCTGTACACATACACACATTACACTGTGGATAGAACGATCATGTCATATGGGCTGGACTCCTCATAACCTGACCCACCGACGCCTCACGGGGACCAGGTTGTTTTCTCTGATTGTGCTTGTTTCGTGATTGTAATTCTTGAAGTCGTAGCTTTTCAATTCGTATTCTGATGGACGTTTCCGTTAGAATGTTTTTAGTTTGTGTGTGGTTTATCTCGGGCAAGTAACGGGTGGAATGTTAACGGGTCTGGGCGGGTCCGGGTTTAACTTTGATATAATCACAGATTAACGGGCAGGACTCTGTGTGGAGTTTAGAAACACAGTGGAGCACTTCTTCCTGTATTACCGCATGACATCACAAGGTGGAACAGTGTTTTCTCAGCATAAATGTGCAGGTTTGTGAGTTAAACATGTGTGAATGAAACAAAACAACTCCAGGTGTGTTTGTGACGAGGAAACTTTAAGACTACTACGTTTAAGACTTCATTAGGACAATAAATAATAAATGAAATAAACATCTCAAGATTCAAAACAAGATTAATTTTCTTAATAAAGTTTTTTTGTTTTTATCCTTGGATTTCGGAACGATGCAAAATTAGGGCCGTTGTCGTGGCGATTAAAGACGCTGTACCTGATTTTTACCGTCTTAAAAATGCGAGTGGTCCAAAGTTCTTCCTAATTATTTATTAGTTTCTAAGCGCTTTTCACAACTGGACGTGGAGTTTTGACGGTGACGCCAACAACGACTAGCAATGCTAACGGGCACTTCCTAGCTCTCGGGCAGTAAAAGGCTTCATAATTCGACTTGTTTTGGCTTCAAGAAGGGAAAAATCAGGTACAGGGTCTTTAAAAAATGTATACTGTGTCTTTTGAAGGGTCAACCGTCCTCAAAATGGCGCCGCGTGAACAGGAAGCTGAAACCCGTGATACGATTTGCTGTGACGAGACACAAAATGGCGGATTGTGTTTGTTTGTTTGTTTGTTTGTTTGTTTTGCTGCGGTCTTGAGTCCGGAGAGGCGGGTGCAGAGAGGCGGGTGCAGAGAGGCGGGCGTGGTCCGGGGGGTTTGGCACAGCGGGCGTCTCCTCGTTCCAAAAAAAAAACAAAACAAAAAAACACGTCCGTTCCCGTGGCGACGCACAAGCGGCCGCCGTGTTAAGTCTGTGTGAGAGTTTATAACGGCTCCCGGTTTAATACTCCACTGTGACGGCTTTGGTCTTGAGGTATTCAGAAAGAGCGTCCTCTCCTGGAAACGAGACACATTACAACAAAATGTTTGTGTTTCATATGAACAAGAAGTGGTTTAACAAAGACTTTTAGTATCACAGACATGATTTAACCTTTTTTTTAATTGAACCATATTGGATCAATTTGAAATGTATCATGTCAAATCAAAAGTGAACAGTATTGACATTGATTGCAACTATCATTAAAGGTTGTATGGAGGATTTTTATTTAATTTTTTTTCAAATTGTCAATGAAAGTTCAAAATAGCGTTATAGAGACGCAGCAGCCTTGTAATTATGATGAACAAAAAAAAAAAAAAAAGAATGAAAATCCATCAACTGTGGACGTGATGGGGCCAGATAAACATCAGCCAATAGATAAAAAGGCTACCTCGTTTTCTATTGGCTGTTAGGTCGTCAATCAAACTCCCTACGTTTCTAGTGTAACTGAGTCGCCGGCGCGCTGGGATTATTTGGTTTATATTTGCCTCTCACGCATTTCCACAGACGCAAGACGCTGTTTACTCGACCAACGCAGTGGTTCTGTAACTTCCTCGCAGTTCGTACAAAGTTTGTTGCGACGGCGGACGAGAATCCACGACCAGTTCGCCGCAAAAGAAAGTCCGTTTTTGAGGTCGCTGAAAGAAGAAGAGAAGGGGAAAAGGAGCGAAGACAAACTGAGGTGATTCTTGGAGATTCCTTCCAGCGATGGTGCGACTGAAGCAGACGAAGGGACTAAAGACTAAAGACGCGTCGGTCGATAAATTACTTCTGGACAAGAAACTTCAACAGCGATTCTGAACGAGCACCGGCTGTAAACAATTGTAATTTCTAGCGTAAGGAGGAGGCGGGAGGAGACGTTTCTACTTAGGGAGCTGCAGTCAATGTATTTCTCTTTCCTTGGAAAATCTTCTATACAACCTTTAACGAGACCCAACCCTAATCATAAACGACAAACTTTTGTGACTTCGTTAACATTAGTTTTAGTTTGCATGAAAAAAACTAAACAAAAACTGGCATCTTAAAAAAAAATGAATATAAGAACTAAGAAAAAAAGTGATTGTATTTGTGTTCCAGGGTTTAGTTTATGGAACAATCTGAATGATGATTTAAAAAAGTCTAACACTATAGAAGAGTATAAAAAAAAAAAAAAAAGAGTATAAAGTGTTACGTTTTGTAAGATGTAGATCTCTGGAACGAATGACTTATGCATTAAATTTTGTTTGTTTTAATTTATATTTTGTCTCTTATTTTTACAGTAAGTCGTGAGTGAAATTGTAAATCCAAACTTGCTGTTCATACTTTACGCTCAGAGAATCGACCATTTTGACTCACTACACTCTTTGGCAAAGTTTGGCCCAATCAAAATGGACAAAGCGCATGAGTTTGACGGAAAACAAAGTTCCTACTGGACACTTGTTTTCCCACACACTGTGTAATGATGGAGGATAATGCCGGGAATGTGCTTGGAAAGCCTCAACTCTGAGCTTATCAAGGCAAAAAAAAAAAAGTATGTTTCTATCTTTTATGGTTGTAAAGTTATGTGCAGTTTTATAAAACATATTTCCAGGTATCGCGTATGAAACCATGGGTCTAGAAGGGTTCAATTATTCTCCATAATCCTGTATGTGTAACTCTTAAAGCCTCTGGGGAGCTGCGTGGAACAGACTCCAGAGCTCGAGGCTGAAGAAACGTGGTGTTAAAAAGGCCTTGTGTTCTTGGTCTTCCGCATGGAGACTGTCACTGCATGCAGATCCGACCAATCAGAACTTTGGCCCCTTATGTGGCCCCATCGTGCAGGGCTGGGGCCAGGTGTTGGGGTTCAGTGAGAGACTGCGAGGAGTGTGCTCTTGTTGTGTTTTTTTTAGAGGTTATTTTCATCTTTGGTAGTGTGTGCGTAATATAAACATAAGTAGATGTTCTCTTTGTTTTGTTGTTGCTATAAACTTTTCTTTATTGTGTTTCGGCCTGTTTTGGCCTCATTTGCATGCGTCATACAGAGAGACAGTGTGAATCTAGGTATGGCACCTCTTAATGGTGCAGTATAGTCAGAGCAGCTCAATTTATTATGTCTGCATAACTAATCTATATGATGTTTGTTACTTATGTTTAGAGTTGTTTAATATATCCATGTGTTTTATTATGTATAGTTGTATAGTTATTTAATAAACATTTTTTATACCTTGTTTTCCACAGAACCACACACTTACACCATTTTCTGCTAATACTGGATACTCAATAAAGCAAACTAATTCAAGACATCTGGCTGATCCTTCCAAGGGCAGCGGGTTAATACAGACAGCAGCCCTTAGTATATTTTACACGTGGAGTAACTCATATTTATAAGACGATGGTTTTCAGTCTGAAAAACACTTTTAAACAACTGTAAATGTTTTTTCATAACTTAAAAAAAACAGAATAACACAAACTCTGGGTCTTTCAGTAACATGAGTTCATGAGTTTGACTGTGTGGTACTGACCCAGGTCTTTCCCGAATCCGGACTGTTTGAATCCTCCGAAAGGCGACGCCACGTCTGTTTTGTTGTACGTGTTGACGAAGACGGTCCCGGCCTCCAGACGCTCGCTCACGTACATCGCTTTGTTTATGTCGCGCGTGAAAACTCCAGACGCCAAACCGTACTCCGTGTCGTTGGCTCTGCGCAGAACGTCGTCCACGTCTCTGAGGAAGAGAGAGAGAGAGAGAGAGAGGGATGAGAGAGGAGGGAGAGAACGCCGTCCACGTCTCTGAAGAAAGAGAGAGGAGAGAGGGATGAGAGGAGAGAGAGAACACCGTCCACGTCTCTGAAGAAAGAGAGAAAGAGAGAGGGATGAGAGAGGAGAGAGAGAGAACGCCATCCACGTCTCTGAAGAAAGAGAGAGGGAGAGAGGGATGAGAGAGGAGGGAGAGAACGCCGTCCACGTCTCTGAGGAACGAGAGAAAGAAAGAGGGATGAGAGAGGAGGGAGAGAACGCCGTCCACATCTCTGAAGAAAGAGAGAGAAAGAGGGATGAGAGCGGAGGGAGAGAACGCCGTCCACGTCTCTGAGGAACGAGAGAAAGAAAGAGGGATGAGAGAGGAGGGAGAGAACGCCGTCCACGTCTCTGAGGAACGAGAGAAAGAAAGAGGGATGAGAGGAGAGACAGAGAACGCCGTCCACGTCTCTGAGGAACGACAGAAAGAGAGAGAGAGAGAGGGATGAGAGAGGAGAGAGAGAACGCCGTCCACATCTCTGAGGAACGAGAGAAAGAAAGAGGGATGAGAGAGGAGGGAGAGAACGCCATCCACGTCTCTGAAGAAAGAGAGAGAGAGAGAGAGAGGGATGAGAGAAGAGAGAGAGAACGCCATCCACGTCTCTGAAGAAAGAGAGAGAGAGAGAGAGAGAGGGATGAGAGAGGAGGGAGAGAACGCCGTCCACGTCTCTGAGGAACGACAGAAAGAAAGAGGGATGAGAGAGGAGGGAGAGAACGCCGTCCACGTCTCTGAGGAACGAGAGAAAGAAAGAGGGATGAGAGGAGGGAGAGAACGCCGTCCACGTCTCTGAGAGAGAGAGGAGAGAGAGGAAAGAGAGGAGGAGAGGGAGAACGCCATCCACGTCTCTGAAGAAAGAGAGAGAGAGAGAGAGAGGGATGAGAGAGGAGGGAGAGAACGCCGTCCACGTCTCTGAGGAACGACAGAAAGAAAGAGGGATGAGAGAGGAGGGAGAGAACGCCGTCCACGTCTCTGAAGAAAGAGAGAGAGAGAGAGGGATGAGAGAGGAGGGAGAGAACGCCGTCCACGTCTCTGAGGAGAGAGTGTGAGAGGAGGTAGGAAAGAGAGAGGAGAGGGAGACATGAGAGAGGAGAAAGAACGAGAGAAAGAGGAGAGAGAGAGAGAGACGTGAAAGAGGAGAGGGGGTCAGTGTTTCTCACCCGTCCTTAAACTTGGACACGACCATCACAGGACCAAAAGATTCCTCTTTGGCGATGAACATGTGATCCTCCACGTCTGTGAACACGGTGGGCTCCATGAAGAAACCTGCACACACACAACAACACCAATTACTATGACTTATTATGATTTATTATTATTTATTATGGTTTATTATGATTTATCCAATCCAACTTTATTTGTAGAGCACATTTTATAAACAAGTCAGTTTCCAAAATGCTTCACACAGAAATGTAAAACATGTAACTATAAAAAGCCAACAGAATTATAAAAAAGGAACTAACAGAATCAACAGATAAAAGAATAATGATAAAATCGATGAATAGAAATAATAAAATCAATAGATAAAGGCAGTACTAAAAAAATTAAATAGATAGAAACAATAAATAAATACAGTCGTCCCTCGCTGTTTCGTGGTTCATTTTTCGTGGTCTCGCTGTTTTGCTGATTTTTTTAGTGCAATTTTGCATGTTTTTTTTTTTTTTTTTTACAGTGTATGAACGTGGACTGTGTTCCTCCCCCTGCGTCCTGATTGGCTGAGGGACTGTAGATCATTGTCAGTCTCCTCTGTGCTGTGTCTCCTGTACAGTACAGAATGGGCTCAGCTGCCAAATTTTACACAAATATTGGATCTTTAGCAGTGACATTCTGAAGACGTTTTCTCCCCAACAAAACCCACAATGTCGAGGAAACATTCTGCACCGACAAAGTCTCCTGCGCTCGCTCCCAAAAGGCAGCGGAAGATTTAACCATCGCACAAAAAGTTGGACTTCTGGACACGCTGAAGGAAGAGAGAAGCACCGAGTCCTGCACCGGGTTGGATACCCGCTGAAACGGGCGGGTTTTAACATCCAGGAGTTTTACGGGCGGGCGGTGCCGGGTAGACCTCTGCGCCAAAACACGGGTCCTTTCTCCTGCGGTCACCCCCGAGCCCGTCCCGACAGTGAGTCCTGGAATCAGTCCTGGAATCAGTCCTGCTTTAGTCCTGGTTTAGTCTTGGTTCAGTCCATAGTATATGCAGTGCAAAAGTTTGATATAATTTCGGGTTAACAGGCGGGTGCAGGCAGATGCGGGCAGGTGCGGGCAGGTGCGGTCCTGTACTTCACGGGTGCGAGTCTCCAAAACTGAACTTGTGCAGGACTCTGTGCTGTCGGCTCCATTACAGAATAAATGAATCTTCAGTTCGTTACATAAAGAAGGAGGAAAATAACAAAAGGACGACAGCAGCGATAAGTTTTAAGAAGAATGTAAAAAGTGTTGTAAGTGTCCTGTGTGAGAAAAGTGTCGAAAGTTTGTGCTGAGGAGTTTTACACACTTAAAACTGATAGAATCATTGTAAAATATAAAGTTGACGACTTCGAGGATTTCACCTATCGCAGGTTATTTTTAGAACGTGACCCTCGTGATAAAAGAGGGACCAGTGTAAGTAAAATAAATAAAAGACACAGTGAACCACACAACTCACGTGGTGTTAAAAGTCACAGAGTAAAAGTGCGTTTTAACACTCCACTGTGATTTATTATTACTGATTATAGTTATGATTTATTATAGTTAATTATGATTTATTATGGCTTATTATTAATATGATTTATTATGTGTTATTTTATTTATTATTGTTATGATTTATTATGATTATGATTTATTATAATGAATCACAATTTATATATTTAATTATGAATTATTTATTATAATTATGATTTATTATAGTTCATTCAGATTTTATAGTTAATCACAATTTATTATTAATCACAATTTATTATGGTTTATTATTATTTATTATGTGCTATTTTATTTATTATGGTTATGATTTATTATAGTTAATCACTATTTATTATTATTATTTATTACAGTTATGATTTATTATAGTTAATTACGATTTATTATGGCTTATTATTATTATGATTTATTATGTGTTATTTATTTATTTATTATGGTTATGATTTATTATGATTATGATTTATTATTATCATCACACACTCACCTGGTCTGTCCACCTGTCTCCCGCCGTACACGAGCGTGGCGCCCTCCTTCACGCCGATGTCGCAGTACTCGAGTAGTTTGTCCAGGTGAGCTTTGTGGTTCTGGGGGCCGTGGTCTGTGGATCGGTCCAGAGGATCCCCGATCTTCATCTTCTTTATCTCCTCCACCTGGAAATAAGAAAATACATTTAAGTCCAGTCCTCATCTCTGCAGAGTTCACCACAACGAAACAGTCAGAGTCTTATTAAACCAGATGCCCTTCCTGTCAAATCACAATAGGTAATATCATATCCTTTTGACCCTGTAGTTTAGGCCTCTACAAACATCCCTGTGCGTCAGATGCCCTCCCAGTGTCTCCATGTGATCATATTCTGTGTAAAATCTATAATCTATGGAGTTATTTTTGTCTCATTAATTTTTACAAAAGCTCAGAGGCTGATCTACAAATATCATTGGTTTGTTCGTGTGTTTTGATCCACAAATCCAAATTTAATATCTGTAACTTCTATTCTGGTCTTTACAAATAGATGTGGATTTGTAAATATATCTTTTTTCATTTGCAAAAAATATAAATAAATAAAATAAAATAAAACATTTGTACATTGTGGATCACCAATTACACAAATTTCACAGATTTCCTCTATGATGTATTTTTGAGACATTCTTTTTGAGAAATCCACACACAGAGAAACTAATATTAAACTATTTTAAGTCACTGACACAAAGCAGGAAAATCCCACTGAACGATTATTAAAGAGACAGAGTCATTTCAAGATCAGAGCTGCAACAAATAAATCACAGAATGAACTGAGAATTTACCACAAGTGACTTATTCAACTGTCTACAGCTCAAATCTGATCTTTACATTAAGATCACATTTGTACACACGATAAAAAGGCCGGTCATCATCATTACTATTTTGACTTATTGTATTTAATACATATTAATAATTAGTAATGAATATACTTATTGTATTTGTAAATATTTGTTTTCATTTGTTCATTATGGATCACCAGTTACACAAATTCACAGATTTCCTCTATGATGTATTTGTTTTGAGACATTCTTTTTGAGAAATCCCCAAACACAGACTCACAGCTGATTCACATCCACAGGCGTCCACTAGAGGGCAGTGTTGTTATTAACTATAATGTGTTGTTATAATTTCATAACTACACATCATAATTAATAATCAAAAAGGAATTGGCTTTATAGACAATTAATTAATGTTACAGACCTGTCTCATACCACACATTCATACCTACGTAACATTAACGAATTGTCTAAAAATCCAATGCCTTATTGATTATTATTTATGATGCGTTAGGGAATGATTACATGTGTTAGCAAACCTCATCGTCTCTTTCTAACTTAATGCCTACAACAACACTGCCCTCTAGTGGACGCCTGTGTATTTGTGTCTGTGTTCGCGAATTTCTCAAAAGAATTTCTCAAAAACACATGATAAAGGAAATCTGTAAATTCGTGCAATTGTTGATCCACAAATGCGAATCACATTTTACAAACAGCATTTTCAGTTTTACAAATGCAAAATGCAAAAAAATATATATATTTACAAATACACATCTATTTGTAAAGACCAAAATACAAGTTACGAATATTAAATTTGGATTTGTGAAAATCAAAACACATGAACAAACCAATGACTGTCTGTAGATCAGCCTCTGTAATTCTGTGAATATTAATGAGACAAAAGTGACTCAACGATAATCCTGAAGGTTAGACTCTACAAACATGTTCAGAAATGTCCCCGTGTGTCAGATGCCCTCCCTGTGTCTGCATGAGGTCTTATTTTGAGTAAAGTCTTGTAGTTTAGACCTTTACGAACATGCCTGGGATTCTTGTATTATTTAAACTTCAGATTTCAGTCTCTTTCAGTCAGACGTAAATGCTTCTAGACGTGTCATAATTAAAATGTGAAATAAATACTGTGATCAAAAATAATTGTATATATATTTGTGTTTTTGATTTAAACGGTTGCCCGGTGTGTGTGTGTGTGTGTTTGCGCTCACCACTCGGCTGATGTACTCGTCGTGGATGGATTCCTCCACAAACAGACGTCCAGCGGCGATGCAGTTTTCTCCTTTGTTAAAATACACCGAGCTCATGCCCTGAACACACAACAAACACACATGAATATATACACACAAAAAATATACAAACATACAAAACATACACCGAGCTCATACCCTGAACACACAACAAACACACATGAATATATACACACAAAAAATATACAAACATACAAAACATACACCGAGCTCATACCCTGAACACACAACAACATACATGAACATCGACACACAAAAAATAAACATATAAAAACATAGAGACAAAAAATATACAAGATACATAAAACATACAAAACATATAAAAAAAACAACATACAAACACACACCGAGCTCATGCCCTGCACACAAGAATGTACACGAACATCTACACACAAACACACACTAATGCAGAAAACATACAAAAACATACAAGAAATACACAACAAAAAACAAAAACATACAAAAACATACAAACGTACACAACATACAAAAACATAACAATATACACAACATATACAACTAACAAAAAACATACAAAAACCTACAAAACATACAAAACACACCAACAAACACAACATACAAAAAACATACACAACATACAAAACATACAAAACAAACAAAAAACATACCAACCTATAAAACATTCACTGAACACACACAGGCACAGGTAAGACTTGTCCAGTCACAGAAGAACATAAAGTAAACCAGGATCTAAACCAGGACTATTCCAGGACTAAGCCAGAACCATGACTACTGTATAATATCACTATATTAGTACTAACCAATAAGAAAATGTGATTTTTTAAAATACAAAAATCGGAATATATAATCCTAAAAACAGCAGAGGCAGGAAACATTCTGAAGCTGTTTTTGTGCAAAGTTACAAAAGTGAGATTTACTAAAAGAAACGGACGAGGATCAGACTCACCATCCTCACGGCTTTGTCCATGTCACAGTCACTGAAGATGATCAGAGGAGACTTCCCCCCCAACTCCAGAGAAACCTTCTTCAAGTTACTCAGAGCGCAGCTACACACACACACACACACACACACACACACACACAGGTTAGAGGCCGCCACACACTACAGGATTTTTCAGTCTTGAACGATTTTTAAACGAGCGACAAAAAGCGCACACCACAAACACGAGACGAATCTTATGAGACTTAAAATCTCCGATCGTAAAGACTGCAGTGTGTAAATCTGTGAGCGCTGTGATCTCATCAGCTGTTTCCCGTCTACAGCAAAACCACTCGCTCTGAGACTCAAAGCGAAGTCCAAACTGTCTTATTATTATGTAAGATACTTCAGATACAGGATTTTTAAAGCATAAAAGACTGGAGATAAAGTCGACAGGAAGTAGAGTCACTGTCGCTAATCTGCAGCTTCACCTCGATCCGTGCGCTGTGTGGATGTAAACAGACACACGTGAGGAACTACTCCCACCTTTTTACTTTTAAAGAACGCAAAAAACTGGATTCACAGCGCGCTTTTTTGGACTGGGGTCATTATTTGCGTTGGACAATTTCTATGATAACGTGGACAAGATGCTGCAGGTTAAATTTGCAGCTTCACAAGAGGTGAGGAATAAAGTTTGCTCATTATTTTCACTATTTCCCAAGTTTGTATTAGACCCGACGCAAAACAGTGCGGCACGGGACACATTTTGAAAACTCATTACAGGCGAGGGTGGGATAAACTCCAGTCCCGCAAACTAAATATGTGAGTAAAGTAAAATATACAAATGATGAATGTAAGAATATCATGCATCATTTGTGCTGGATATTTTATTTTGGCATTAATAAAAACATTTTAAGCAGCAGACCGTTCCCCCTTCCCAACACCGCACGGACAGGCCCTGCTCCCGTACGTCGCGTGAGCTGCGCCACTAAACCAGAACTAAACTGGGACTAAATCAGGTCTAAAACAGGTCTAAAACCAGGACTAAAAGAGGATTTAGCCAGGACTTAACCATGCTGCCGGACCGTCTACCGCGCCTCCTCCCATACGCAGCCCAATTCCTTTCCGTTTCTCCGTGTTTGATAGAGTTTAAGAAAGCAAACGTTCACATCTTGCGGGAATTGCGGGCGGGAAAATATCGCAGATGCAGGCGGGAGAGGGACTGAAAATTACAATTCTTTGCGGGAGCGGGACTGAAAATTACAATTCTTTGTGGGAGCGGGACTGAAAATTACAATTCTTTGCGGGAGCGGGACTGAAAATTCTATCCCGTGCAGACCTCTAGTTTGTATCTTGCGCTTCTGTGTCCATCACTAATCTGTTTTATCAGTCGTTATTGTACTGGTGGTTACGATCTGACACTGAAATACACACACTAGGAGCGCAGCGGCTTCAAAATCGCAGACGAAGACTCAAACTCGTGTCACACCTCCCGAAACTCAAGGAGAAGCAAAAAAAAAAGCAGCCAAAATCGGGCAAATTCTCCTGTATCGTGTGGCGGCTTTAACAAACACAGTAATAAAAGCAGAAGTTTTGCAGCGATCAGATTCTACCTCTTCATGATCTGTTTGCCGATGGGCGTGGAGCCGGTGAAGCCCAGTTTACGGATGTCTGGGTGGTCGGACAATCTCTGCCCCACCATCCCGCCTGAAAACAACCAGAACCAGAACCAGGGTTTAGAACACACACATGACAATAACAGCAGTTTCTGTTTGCAGGGTATGCCCCGGGTTTGACTACCCCAAATTTAAGACTTTTTAAAGACCTTTTTAAGACCACTTCAATGAAAATTAAGACAAACCAACTACAGAACTATATCTAGAATCTAAGATACGTTTATACGATGGCGGTCTGAACAGAAGACACAAACTGGAGTTGTGTCTTCACTTTTTATTCCGCGTTTAGATGAGCATTTTTGGGAGGAAATCTGTGTGCGAACGATGATGCAAAAGTGTGTAGAATTCAATTGTGTATGATGTCAGGCGGCTCGGTGGTGATGTTTGTGACGTAAACGTGTACGCGACGTGAGCAGATCTGACCAGAGTTTTGCGTCTTGGGCAGTGCAGACGGAACTGATTGTTTACTCGTTGCCGCCAGTGCCAGAAAACAAAGTACTGTTTGTGCAAACTCCAAATTAGACGTTCATTCACATTACATAATTTCACTTTTTTTTTTCCTCCCTTTGTTTAACTTTGCACTGCAGCCCGGGTGAGTCTACAAAAAAAGACCTTTGTGAAAAAATTAAGACTTGGACAACATAATTTAAGACTTTTTAAGGCCTTCATTTAGGAACATGAAATTTAAGACCTTTTTAAGACTTTTAAGACCTCGCGGCTACACTGTGTTTGGTACAGATGGATTTTAACCCACGTATTTGAGCAAAATGTGTCTCTCCTGATCTCTCAAGGTCAAAATAAGTCCTCTGTGTTCTGTCTGTACCTAAATATCAAGTGTTTTATTGTTCAAGAATTTTATATCATTTATTTATATTAATTACGGAACAAATTTGCATACATAGAAGACTTCTTGTTCATCAGTGAAACTAAAGCCGCAGAGGCCCTCACCGGATCCAGGCAGGATGTTGATGACTCCTTTGGGGATTCCAGCTTTGGCGGAGAGCTCGGCGAACTTCAGCGCCGTCAGAGGAGTCACCTGTTTCCACGGAGACAGAAACGGGAAAGAAGAAGCTCAGGTTAAGCAAAGTACGTCACAGTGACATCGCGCTGGGGGGGCTCTACATTAACAGTACAACTCCTTCAGATTGGAACAGATACCCACAAACTTATGAACTTTATCATCATTCAAACACATAAAATCCTAAATCCTCTTTGTTTTCATATCTCAGAACTCACTGCTTAGGTTTTTAGTTTATCTTTTTTTATTTTTCAGTTTATTCTATTCTTATTTTTCATTTGTTTATATCATTGTTATAAAATGTATACTTTTTTTGTATAAATCAGATATCTTTGCAGGATTTGGGAGAAGGGCATGAGGGTTTACACACATTTTATTTATTTATTGTTCTTTTGTTGTTGTGTTTTTTTTGTTTGTTTGTTTTTTTAGGGGGGGGGGGCATTTTGAGGAAATTAATACTCAGTACATTAATAACAAAATAAACAGAAGACATAACAAAATATAAGACACAAATAGAAAAAATACAACAAACAACAAAAGAACAATAAATAAATAAAAAGTGTTTGTGTTTTGTAATGTAAATCTATAAGTTTTGTATTCTATCTATTGTTTTGTATTGTATTTTGTACTACTAATGTTTTATATTTTTTGGATCCCCTTGAAAATGAGGTGGCACATCTAAAGGAGCATTCCAATAAAAAAGAAAAAAAATGTGTACTGTGGAATGTTCAGTAGTTAACATGGAGACACAACGCACACATTAGCAATTAGTGAAAACACTGTCAATTTTGTGTCCAATTGTCTCAAAAAAAAAATACAAAAAATACAAAAATGATTTAAAGAGCGTGTTTTCAGGAGCTGGTGATCAGTCTGAGCGTTCACAATTCTGTTTTCAACAAAAAGCTGAGAGTGACTAACTGAAAAACTGCTGACTAATGCTAATGCTAATGCTAATGCTAACGCTAACTAGCTTGTGACTAATTTAATGTGTGAGAGTTTTATTTGTTTGTTTGTTTGTTGAACAGCACAAATCAGCTCACCTGTTGTAAGCAAAGGAAAAAATCAATTTGTCAACTGGACACAAGTTTTTTGGTCAAGAAATTTTTGATGCTCCTCCAAACTGCTTCATTTCTGGTTAGACCAGAATTTCAAAATAAAAAACTGGGATGTCCTGTTGTTTTTGGTGGTTGGCAATAATATAATATAAAATAGAATAATAATGATATAATAATAAATTTTAAATAACTTATCTTACTGAAAATTATGAAAAACACAAACTGAGATCTACAAATAAACAGTAAGTCATAAGAAAAAAAATATAATAATAATATTGTTATTATTATTATGATTATTGTTATTGTTATTATTATTATGATTATTAAATTAATTTATAATTATTATTATATTATTATTTATTTATTTTATTTTTTCCCACAATTTACCCTGATATGACATTAACTTTCAACACTGGTACAATTTTTTTCATAAAGAGTCAAACACGTCAAAATATAAAATAAAATAAAACTTAAGCATGTTAGCACTTTCCCTCTTTAAATTTAAGTTCTTATGTAAAAAATATATGTAATAATATGTATAAACAAACTTTTCAAATTTCACAGTAATATTGTCGTATTCTAACGTTTGCCTCGTTTTTTTTCCTGCCCGACAGAGTTTCCGTGTACGTTCTGGTTTGGAGAGGTGAGTTTTGGAGCGAGTCCAGAGGTTTTCACAGATGCAGACAGAAACGAGACTGTTCATAACACAGAGCTCTCAGTCTGAAGTGAGCGCCGCCTGAGCTGCCTCCAGAGTTTCATTTGACTCACTAATACATTCTGTCGTAAAAGCTCACAAAAACTTAAAATTATAATGTTTAAAGGTGCAACTTTTTTAGTGGATGGTCCGTCAAATGCTTTTCTCCGTGGACATGTTATTGCTTTGTCTGGAATGTTTCACAGTATCGGAAAAGTGCTCCTCAGAAAGATGTCACATAAACTACCAGTCAAACATCCTATTTTTTACAGTAATTTATTGCAATTCAAGTCGTGCAAGTCCAATGAAGATCTTAAAATGGAACAAAGGTAAAAACTGAACAGACAGGTTAAAGAAAAGATGGGAAGAATTTTCTAAACAGTATTTGATTTCTGTTGTAAAAAGAACAAGCCACGAGTGTGTTCAGCTCTTATTTATATCTGCCAAAGGTCGACACACACATCAGTCAAAAGTTTAGAATATGTTTTGGTCGACAGGAAACAGGAAAGAACTGGAAAAAGTGTGGTGTTCTAAAACTTATCTTGGAACACTCATTGATTCTAAATTGAGCTTTGGCGATAACTGTATTACTGTGAGTAAAAGAGGCACCAGCGCCTTCAGTGTCTGAGGAAATTGTCTCCTACAGTGTAAATAGAACCATGACGACACTGTTCTATACAATGTTTATGGAATCACTCTTAACTTTTGACTTTCATTGGTTTCATGGTTTTGGAGCATGTCTGCGAAAAACAAGAACTCCCTGAATCAGTCGGTTGAACGGGCGAGTGAGGAACAGTCCGGACTCTCTGCACTCAGGACAGTCACACCGGACATCCCAGAGGATTCTCAAAGACCTGCAGCGTCCTCGAAACTCTTCTAAACAGTTTTAAATGTGCAGCGTCCTCGAAACGTTTCAGCTGCTTCCCTCTGGTCTGAGGCCAAAGATCTAGATTGAATACTTTTAAAAAAGAATTTTGTTCCAGCTGCTGTTGTACTTATCCATCCATTTTCTTCCCGGGATCGGGTCGCGGGGGCTTCAGTCTAAGCAGGGACTTCCAGACTTCCTTTACCCCAGACACGTCCTCCAGCTTCTCCGGGGGAACTCCAAGGTGTTCCCAGGCCAGCCCAGAGACATAGTTCCTCCAGCGTGTCCTGGAACATGCCCAGAACACTCAGAACAGATCCCGAGCCACCTCAACTGGCTCCTCTTGACGTGGAGGAGCAGCGGCTCTACTCCAAGCTCCTCCGTAGGTCCGTGTGACTGAGCTCCTCACCTGTTCTCTAAGGGAGCGCCCAGACACCCTGCAGAGGAAACTCATTTGTGCCGCTTGTATCAGTGATCTCGTCCTTTCGGTCATTACCCAGAGCTCATGACCAGAGGTGAGGGGAGGAACGGAGACTGACCGGTAAATCGAGAGCTTTGTCTTTTGGCTCAGGTTCTTCTTCAGCACAAGCCTCAAGTGGAGGAGTTCAAGTATCTCGAGGTCTTGTTCAGGAGTGAGGGGAGGATGGAGCGTGTTGTACTTATGAATACATTCTAATCTATTTATTTAATGATTTTAGTACAATTTTTAGTATTGATTTTTAGTAGTCAAGCGTGATAAATGAATGAATTATTTATGAAACAAAATCGTTCTGCGCTGGAGCTCTGTAACATCTTATTTGTGATTGTGTTTTTATTTGTGTTTATTGTGCAGAGTGTGAATGAACCTGCAAAACAAATTTACCTACAGGTACGAATAAAGCAACCTAACCTAACCTAAATTAACCTTTCGATCTTCATTGAGACCAAACCAGACCAGGTTACAGGTCAGATCTGTGGAGAGGCGACCCCCTCACAGTCAGAACGTTGTTTTTCTAGGTGTTTTTGAGCGATAAATTGACCTGTAATTGAAAAACTGTAAAGTAGAGCTGTTTAATATCATACTTTGGAACGTTCCAGGAAGAGCAATGACTAGAAACAAGAAGTTGACGGACCCCCAACCAAAAAGTTACACAGTGCAGCTTTAATCCTTTCTGTACCTGAGCGGGTTTGAGCACCAGCGTGTTCCCGGCGGCGAGGCAGGCGGCGCTCTTCCACGCCAGCATCATGAGAGGATAGTTCCACGGGATCACGATGGCGCACACGCTGCATCGCACAGGAGGAGTCACGTTTAAACCTGATCGTGTTTTTAAACGTTTGGAGGAGTTTTAAAGTGGTCGTACCCCAGAGGCTCTTTCTTGGTGAAGGTCAGGTTGCGGTTGGGTCTGGCCTGGTTGATGGGGATCGTCTTGCCCTGTGGAAAATATCATATAAATTTTTCTCGTACGCTCTTTAACGCCGTCCTTTTACATCCATGGGGACAAGGATAGCTACATACGGTTCCTTTAAAGCATTGTTTCCCAAAGACTGGATCGCAAGAGCTTTTTTTTTGGGTTGCCTTGCCATGATCTGCATGTAGATGTGTGATATACATGTACATACAGCTCTGCACCCCACTCCTCACTTTTTTCTGCAGCATGCATGTAGATCTGTGATATACATGTACATACATCTCTGCACCCCACTCCTCACTTTTTTCTGCAGCACGGCCTTGCTGAACCAGTTTTCTGTCTTTGTTTAAAACTTGAGTACCGTATTTTTCGGACTATAAGACGCACGTAAAACCCTTAGATTTTTTGAAAAATCACAAGTGCGCCTTATTAATTCTGGTTGTGTCACTGACCTCGAACCAATTTTCACTCATATTCCACTGAGTCGTGTCCTTTAGTCTGACAGAAGCCGAACCACATCAGTGCACAAGGAGTGAGGTGTTTTTTTTTATTGCTTATAGTTTATGCAAATGAGTCATGTGGTTTTAAGTTTCTTATCTGTAAAACGTAAACAAATGTGATCAAAGCTGCATTAAACACATTATTACTCAATCTATATTTGAGCCGTCCTCGTAGGAAATAAAAAAGTCTCAAGTGTCGTCTGTTTGTTTCGCTTAATGCTCCTTATAATCCGATGCCTTATGTATGAAAACAGACGAAAGAATTAAAGATTATTGATATTGCGCCTTATAATCCGAAAAATACGGTAATATTAATTGTTCAGAGAGACACGATCACTCAGTCAACAATAAAATATCCTCATTAATGTTCCATAATTTATTTTGTGATTTATGAATAACGTCTATTGACTTGGGTCGCAAAGGTTTGTGACTTTTAAAATATGAATCCCCAGATAAAAGTTTGAGAAACACTGATTTAAAGGGAAAAACTAAGGGGAAAAAAACGGACTCCTGTGAGCTTTAAGTCGTGTTCTCATGTTGTTCCCTCCTCAAAAACAGAGCTGGATTTGTGTTTTGTTTCATTCACATGTTTGAGTGACTCTTTATTATTAGTCTGTTTACATCTCCAAAGCTCAGAATGTTCTGTTCCACCTCGTGATGTCATGATGCTGTAGTTTTCAAGTGAACAGCTCCTTTTACCTTTAGTTCAGTCGAGATTTGCAATTCCAGGACTGAAATTGTCCAAATGATTCTAGTGAAGGTGTGTGGAACAGAGTGTTTTCAGTTTGAGAGAAGAACTCAGCCTAAATCTGCAGGGTTTGTGTGTTAATTAAACATGTGTGAATGAAAGTAAACACGAACTCCAGATCGGTTTGTGTTGAGGAAACTCCATTAGAACAGAGATCAGAACAGTGTGATGTGGGCCCTTTAAACACACACCTGGATCTTGTCGCACCATCCGGCGAAGTATCTGAACGTCTGGATGGACATGCCCACGTGAGTCTTCAGCGCCAGAGTGTACACAGCCCCAGAGTCCAGAGCCTCGATGGTCGCCAACTCCTCCTGGTGCTGCTCCATCAGGTCGGCCAGTCTGAGAGACGGAGGAGGAGGGGAGGAAGAGAGGGAGGAGAGGAAGGAGAAGGTGAAGAGGGAAAAGGAAGGGAGAGGAAGAAGAAGAAGAGAAGAAGGAAGAGAGGGGAGGAGCGGTTAGGTTTTTTAAAATGTATTTATTCATAAAGTTAAGGTGCCCTTTACACTTTTTCATTCAGTGTCTCTGGGTTAAATCCATCAGCAGTAGTGGGACCATCTCCAGATCTTGAGCTGCTCTTTGTCACACAGACACAGGGAGAACATGCAAACTCCACACAGAGGTCTGGGAGTCGAACTGAGAACCGTCTCGCTGTGAGACATGAGTTCTAACCACCCTGCAAACGTCCTAATTTACCTTTGGACCACTTGTTACGACCCGGGTGGATCCCACATATTAAAGAGGACACAGAAGACAAAAGGGTTACAAAAGTAAAAGTTATTTTTATTTTTAAGTACATTTTAATAAACTAACCTTACCAAATAAAAGGCAAAAACAGGACAGCCGGTCCCACCAGGTCAAACAAAAAAGGCTCACTGCAGCTCACAGGCAGGTGCAGCCTGCGCTGAGCAGCTAAGGCAGGGGAGCTCGCAAGGCGACGAGCAAGCACCCAGATACTCGGAGGGCGAGGCGGTGCGCAACAAGAGCGCAAGAGCAAGAGAGCGCGCCACTGATCGACGACATAATTATACCAGATCAAGCCACGCCACAAAACATGCGTAAATATAAAACTACACACTGTAGAGATGCGTAAACTGGCACCAGCACGTAACACCACTACAGTTTGTCTAAAGCTGCGTTCAGACCGCGGCGTCAAGGCGTCCATTTAAAATTCAAACTGTATGTGGACGCGTTCAGGACGTCCTGCATTTTTGTGGTGGACCTGGCGTCGATGTGGAGCGTCTTGAGTGTTCAGAAGTTGAAAAAGCTTTGGTGTTGGACGCAGCAACGTTATTACCCAGAAGAAGGAAAAGGAAGAGAAAGACCCGGGAATCACAAACAGAAAAAGAAACTCTACACCGTGTCATTAGTGGAGTATCGCTTCGCTCCCGCTGGTTTTATGTAATAAAAAAACTAAAGACACTCTCTCGACTGGGAAAACAAGGCACACAGCCGCGCCCTGGAACGAACATCAAGTGTTTTTCTCCCATTTCCACAGTGTCCAAGACGAGCATCACATGTAAAGGCTCCAACTAGAGGAGTCCAGAACAGTTTTTGATGCCGCGGTCTGAATACAGCTTTAGTCAAACAGGGCCTCACCCGTCAGACTCACCTGTAAAGCACCTGTCAGATTCACCTGTAGAGCACCCGTCAGACTCACCTGTAGAGCACCCGTCAGACTCACCTGTAGAGCACCCGTCAGACTCACCTGTAGAGCACCCGTCAGACTCACCTGTAGAGCACCCGTCAGACTCAGAGCTCACCTGAGAGCACCCGTCAGACTCACCTGCAGAGCACCGTCAGACTCAGACTCACCTGTAGAGCACCTGTTGTCAGACTCACCTGTAGAGCACCTGTCAGACTCACCTGTAGAGCACCCGTCAGACTCCTGTAGAGCACCCGTCAGACTCACCTGTAGAGCACCCGTCAGACTCACCTGTAGAGCACCCGTCAGACTCACCTGTAGAGCACCCGTCAGACTCACCTGTAGAGCACCGTCACTCACCTGTAGAGCACCCGTCAGACTCACCTGTAGAGCACCGTCAGACTCACCTGTAGAGCACCCGTCAGACTCACCTGTAGAGCACCCGTCAGACTCACCTGTAGAGCACCTGTCAGACTCACCTGTAGAGCACCCGTCAGACTCACCTGTAGAGCACCCGTCAGACTCACCTGTAGAGCAGGGCGCCCCTGTCTCGGGGTTCATGCGGCCCCAGGGCCCCTCCTCGTACGCTTCTTTTGCAGCGGCCACGGCCCTGTCCACGTCTCCCACCGAACAGTACGACACTTTACAGATCACCTGAAACACACAAGAACATTACACACGAGAACATTACACACAAGAACATCACACACAAGAACATTACACACAACACACAAGAGACACAACACAAAACACACACTGTGAAAAACTAATGACTTTACACAAAAATAATACATAGAATCAAAGACACCTGAGAGACGCCTGTGAAAATACTAAAGGTACAATATGAAGTAACGTCACGATGAACACTTCAAATTTGATTTCAGTTCTGAGGAACAGAATCGATACTCACTGCTGATTCTGATACCACAATGAGAATAAAAAACACTTTCTAGGACAGACCTTTTTCACAACAGCAAGAACAGAAGTCTCACCGCCCTGTAGGTTTGAGGAACGAAGAATTTACCCACAACTACCAAGGTAAGAAAGACGAAAACTTAAAGGCTGAAAATCTCTCTGTCTAAGCTCATATTGACATCATGAAATACATTTTTAATTGTAGAATCAGTTGGAGCAAACAAGTTCCTTCTGTTTTATTCATGACCATAACATTAGTTTTGCTCATCGTTTTTAGACTTTAAGCTTTCGTCTTTCTTCCCTTGATAGTTGTGGATCCTTTGTGATAGTCTGATTCATCTCACGGTTTCACTTGGTAGAAACCGTCTGACCTCGCAGCATTAGGATTCGTTCGCTCGACAGTAGGCGGGTACTTTTTTTATTTAACCAATCGCTGCTATTTGGTCAGGCAATAACGTCTTTCCCCTTGATAAAATTCACCAAACATTCTCGTTGTTCCATCTTTAAATCCTCGATCTCGGAAATTGTCGCCAACACACAACGTATGTCTCTTTGCTGATTGGCTGGTGCCCGAACTCACACTTCTGCTGTTTTTGTGAACTGTCTAGTGTGTTCTGATTTCTTGACTGGAAAGAAATGAAATTGACAGACTGGGATCAAAAAGCAGCCCTGGACTTTCTCCCCACAAACAGACAGTGTTGGGGAGTAACAGATTACATGTACCGGAGTACAAATTATGAGTAACTGTAATCAGTTACAGTTACTGTTTCAGTGAGTGGTAATTGGATTACAGTTACTTTGTTGAAATAAATGGATTACACAGAGGGATTTTCCTGTTTTCACATTTTGGACTAAACCAGAACTAAACCAGGACTAAACCAGGACTAAACCAGAACTAAACCAGGACTAAACAATGACACTAACAGTAGTGTGGACATAATTTAAAGCAGCAGTGACTCATATAAAAATAATTTCTCCATCAATAATATTTTTAATTTGGTTAAGTAAAGACTGGACTTTTTATTTTCTTTCAGCAGACAGAACTTCTTATGTTAAAATGTCCTGGTCTTTTCTTCTCTACAGTAAAACAGTTTCTCATTCATGGAGATTTGGGCTCAACAGACAATTTGAAGAGAACAAATATGAATTTTCAGGATGTGGTTGTTAGATTCAAGTAGTTTTAAAAAACATGACAATATCAAATAATTCAAAGTATTCAGATTACATTACTCACCTTAAGTAACTTAATGGATTCAGTTACAAACTACATTTTGGTGTGTGTAATCTGTAATCTGTAGGGGAATACATTTTAATAATGAAAAATAAAAAGTTCTGCAAACCTAGAGGGCGACACTTCTGGCCCTGAAAAAGGTCTATAGAACGTGATTTTCCACATTAAATCATAGAACTGTCTTTTCTCTTCCCATGTGGTCTTATATCTGTGCATTAAAACTTAAAACTGCTTCTTGGGGGAAAGTTACATCACTAAAATAACGATAATTAACAAATTGGATCTGGACTTGTTGCACTGACCGAGCCGTCTGTGGGGTTCACTGTATTGTACGTTTTTCCATTTTCCGCCTCCTCAAACCTGCCGTCGATGAAGCACTGGTGGGGCATCTTCACCTCCATGTTGTTCACGTTTTTGGTGACCTGGAAAAGAATCGTGTTCGAATGTGGTCAGAACTTTACTATAGATAAAGCTGCACTGTGTAACTTTTCGGCTGGAGGGTCCGTCACCCGCTTGTTTCTATGGATACGTCAAGTTCCACAGTGCGACATTAAACAGCTCGACTTCACGTTTATTCAATTACAGGTGGTTTTAGAGCTCAAAAATATCTCGAAAAACAGATATTCTGACTGCGAGCGGCAGAGGTGGGACCAAGTCGTTGTTTCGAGAGTCTCGAGGCTTTGACCTCAAGTCCGAGTCAAGTCCCAAGTCGAAATACAGGCAAGTCCAAGTCGGGTCTCGAGTCACTGACCCATAAGTCCAAGTCAAGTCCAAGTCGTCTGCTCTGAGCTTCAAGTTATTTCAAGTCTTAAAACCAAAGTACCAAAAATATTTTAGATTTTTTTTAATTTATATGAATTTTAAGATAAATCGTACTTTAAAAAATCATAGTATAATTATCAATATGAGTATTTGTTTATGATGTTAAAGGTTAAATATCACACAAAACGGACTCTTAAGACTCGACTTGATAAAATGGAGTCAGACTTGGGACTCGACTTGGACTTGAAGATCATTTTTAAATCAGAATTTTTTCTGTTCTGACCGTAATGATTCACTCTAAGATCTCGTCAAGACTAAATAAATTTCTGCAACTCTTATAAACTCTATAAATACTCATAAATAAATAAATACACTATGATTTTTTAAAGTACGATTTATCTTAAAATTCATATAAATTGCAAAAATCTAAGATATTTTTGGTACTTTGCTCTGAGCTTCAAGTTATTTCAAGTCTTTAAACCAGACAACTTGGACTTGACTTGGACTCATTGGTCAGTGACTCGAGACTCGACTTGGACTTGCCTGTATTTGACTTGGGACTTGACTCAGGACTAGAGCTCAAAAATATCTCGACAAAACAGATATTCTGACTGCGAGCGGCAGAGGTGGGACCAAGTCGTTGTTTCGGGAGTTTCGAGTCTTTGACCTCAAGTCCGAGTCAAGTCCCAAGTCAAATACAGGCAAGTCCAAGTCGAGTCTCGAGTCGCTGACCCATAAGTCCAAGTCAAGTCCGAGTCATCTGCTTTGAGCTTCAAGTTATTTCAAGTCTTTAAACCAAAGTACCAAAAATATCTTAGATTTTTCCAATTTAGATGAACAAACTGTACTTTAAAAAATCATAGTATATTTATTTATGAGTATTTATAGAGTACATAAGCGTTGTAGAAATTAATTTAGTCGTGACAAGATCTTAGTGTGAATCATCACGGTCAGAAGAGAAAGAATTCAGGTCAGAATTCAAGTCTTAAGAGTCCGTTTTGTGTGATATTTAATCTTTAACATCATTTCGACAAATACTCATATTGATCATTTCCCAGATTTACTGAAAACAGCTGTTGTCACTCACGTAGTCCACGACGAGCTCCTCCTCCTGGTCTTCTCCTCTCAGTTTCCTCACAAACATCTGGGTGAAGTCCTGGAAGGTGGAGGCCATGTAGACGTCTTCATTCTGCAGCACGACCGAGGAGCAGATCTGCTTCACCTCCTCCACCAGCCTGAACAACACACACACACACACACACACACACACACACACACACACACACACACACACACACACACACACGGGGTTAACGCTTCATCAGCCAACGGTAAGGAAATAAAATGACGGAAAAAAAATTTGAAGATGGGCATCGATGGGTCAGACCAAGGGAATTGCAAGTCATTTGTTCCATTAGATTTCTCACTTTTTTAACTTTTTTAACTCTGAAAAAAGATGAATTATTATTATTATTATGAATTTTAGTCGCTGAAATTTTAAGTATACTGTACTTTTTCAATATGTTTCAAGTAAAAAAAATAAAAATAAAAAATCACCTTTTAAATATTCAGCAGAAATATTTTCAAGCCCACAGATTCAACAGTCAAAATTCAGAGTGTGAAATTTCGCAGGCGATTGTTACTAAACTAGTTCGGATCACTTTTGGATGGATTAATCCGTGTATCATTCGTTCATTTGTTTTTCAAAATAAAACCAAAAATAAGAAAACCAAAAAAACAACTATTTTCTTCATTATTTGTCTCCAAAACCAAAATGAAAAAAACGGATAATGATTCGTTTTTTCAGTTTTTCGATTTTATGTTTAAATGAAAAATGGAAAAAACGGATAACGACAGTTTCCCGTTTACGTGACTTCCGTGACTGTGATGTCGGACTTTTGCACCACATACGGACTGAACCAGGACTGATCCAGGTCCGGGACCAGACCAGAACCAGACCAGGACTGAGACTGAGACCAGACCGGAATCAGACCAAGACTGAGACCAAGACCAGGCCGGGACCAGACTGGGATCAGACCGGAGGCTCGGACCCCGCAGAGGCTCAGAGTCAAAGCTCGGAGTCCACTCTGGTCCCGCTCTGGTCCCGGACCTGGACCTGGAGAACATTTTGTATGTGGAGCAACAACAAAACAAAATCTCGATCCTTCGCTCAACTTCGGTTACAAATTTAAAAAGTCAACGCCAAAGTGAAAGTCTCCAACTGTTCACCAAGAAACACCTTCCACTGCAAAGAGACCAAGACGTGATGTTTCTGTAAAACCACAAGAACAAGAAAGTGCAGCTCAGTCTGTTTGTCTTCTGCTCCTCTCACTTAACAAACGGGATTTTGTTTTGTCGTCGCTCCACATACAAAATGTTCTCTGTAAACTCAGGATGATTTCTTAGTCAGACAAATGTTTCCTTTTTGGTTCTTCCTGTGGATCAATCCTGCCCATCACCTTCACCTTTCACTATTTTTCAATTCCGTTGGGAAGAGAAACAGTTTGAACAGAGGTTTGAGTCACACACATCTGATTCACTTTTACATTTATGAAGTTCACAAACAAATTTTTCGAGTTGTTTTCCGCTGTTAGGATCCAACAACCACACAATTACGATGTCCAAATCCCAAAACTAAAATATAACAATATCAGAACCAGAAACAAAAGTGATATGGTTCAAAAGACTTGAAAAAATCGACTTTGTCAATAGACACATCCCACTGGGAAAACAAACATGGAGGTTTGATGCTCACTTTTTCAGAAAATCCTTCCCAGTGTGAATTGCGCCATAACCGGACGTCTGAAATTCGTGATCCATGTGTGGGCCGTGGGTGACAAATAATCGGTTAGAAAATAATTCACTTTCTGGCTTTTTTTTAAATTTTTTTTATTTATTCTCCCAATGATTAACCTGATTCTTCACGTTAATCGTCCCACTGAGATGAATAAATCTTTTACAAGTGAGATCTGAGGCCAAGACGGCAGCAGGAAAAACTGATTAATGTTTAATAAAATAATTCATAACTCATAAACGGTGATAATGGTGTTAGGTGAATAATGTTAAACTGATTAATGTTTTATAAACTGATTAACAAATGATAAACGGATCATCTGAACAACTAACAAATGAACTACTTGACAATTAACTGATTAACTATCAAACAAATCAGGCCTTACTCCTCCAGGCTCTATCATTTTTAAAAACAGTAAAAGCTGCAGTAGTCGGGGAAATCGCAGAGTAAAATCCTCACAGCTCCGCGTCGGCCGCTGGGAATCGTTCGGGACATTTGTACTTCCTCATTTCTAAAAGTGAAAGTTCCGTGTTTCTGGAGCTCCATGTTTGCCTCCAAAAACCTCTCTGGATCTTTGCAGCAAATTTTTTTTCTGAATTTTGATTGTTGAATTTGAGGTTTGAAAATGTTTGTACTAAATATTTAAAAGGTGATTTAAAAAAAATATTGAATGTTAAACACTTTGAAAATGTACACATATAATTTCATCAACTGACTTTCAGAATAAAAACAATTCACACAAGTTTTTTCGGAGTAAAAAAATTCAAAGTGAGAAATTCAACAGAGTTTAAAATTCAAAATCTGATGAAACGAACGATCTTATATCACATGTCAGAGCATTTCTCTTCATATTCAGTAATAATCGTTCACACTGGTGTCGCGCTCAGCCTTCTGAAGGAAGAAGGACAATAACATCTTTCCCCTTGATAAAATTCACCAAACATTCTCTTTGTTCTTCTCAGATTGGCTGGTGCCCGAACTTGCACTTCTGGAGTTTGTGCAAATTGTCTAGTGCAGGGGTGTCAAACTCATTTTGGTCTGGGGGCCGTATCCAACTGGGGGCATATAAACCCCCCAAAAAATAGCAATAAGTTCAAATATTTGTGTAGAGAAACACAAATCTATTACAGAAATCTTTTTAAAATGATGAACTCTTTCTTTTACACAATATTATAATATTATGAACAACCTGAAACTAAGAAAAATTTAATTTCAACACAATGTGTTTAAATTTCTTGTAAAATCCTGCACTCGGCTCCACTTTTCTCATGTTGGACATTTTTCTGATGAGGGTGTCACGGTCAACAGTCAAAACGATCGTCCTTTAAGAGCGTTTGGAAAGAGACAAGTCTTCATTTGTGCTGCTCTGGTGGGAGGGGCCACGTACAGAGACGCTGCAGACGCTGCTGTGATAAACACCACACAAAATTAACAAGATTTTAATAGAAAATATAATTAAAATATTTTAGTAGAAAATCAGCCGAGGGCCAGATTAAAGGTCTTGTAGGGCCGGATCTGGCCCCCGGGCCGTATGTTTGACACTCCTGGTCTAGTGTTTTCTGATTCCTGAACTAGTCACTGGAGAGAAATGAAACTGAGTAAAGGCACTAGGTGGCGCCAGCCTGACTAGTCGCTACTAGGGGTTTGAATAAATATCAAAATATCGAAATATCGTATCATTTAATGTGATGATACAGTATCAGTATTGTGGGCTGCTGTATCGATACATTACCAAGAGTATTTTTTGGTATATTTTACTAAATTATTTTGTTACAATTACAGTTTTGTTGTTTGTTTAGTGGAAAGAAACTTGTTTTTGCGACACATTTGACATTTTCACTGTTTTGAGGATTAAAATGTTTGTTTTTCATTTGAACTTTGCACAAGAAGAAGTTTAACAAAGACTTTTAGCATCACAGACCTGATTTAGACTTTATTTATTTTTATTTTTTTACTGAACTGTATCGAATTGTATTGAATCGTGAGCTCACTGTATGGAGACATGTATCGTATCGCGGCCCGTGTATCGAGGTTTGTATCGTATCGACAGTTTCTGACTGATCCCAGCCCAGGTGTGGCTCTGACCTGACCACGTCCATCGAGGCTGCTCCAGATTTGAAGAAGTCCGTGGTGTCTTCAATAGCAGCCACATTACTCAGGATGCCCTTCCAGATGACCTGCAGAAATATTAAAGAAGACAAATCCTTCTTTATTATCTGAAAACTGCGACGCTGATTTACCAAGGACACAGGGACAAGTAAAAAAGTTTAAACTTTGCAGACTCATTCAAACTCCCAATGGCCATTTTAGAACAATTTTAAGGCACTTGTTGAACCACAATTTGTTTATTTTATTATTTAAAAACGCATTTTCTAACTTCACAAATCATCTCCATGGAGAGTTATTGCTTTGCCTTGAATGCTCCACAGTATGGCATTAAACGTCACCATGGAGACAAGCCGGTGATGTGACCAGTCGAGCTTACAGCCCACTCACTGTAAAACCAGAACAAATGAAAGATGTTTAATGCCACATTGTGAAACATCCCAGGAAAAGTCATGGAAACAGTTCACCAGCGACCAGAAAATGTCCACACTGCAGCTTTAAACTCACAAGTAGGTAGAGTAGTAGCCAAAAATGTTCTCAAATAAGTGCAAATTTTACTTCAAAAATGATATTACTCAAGTAGAAGTATAAAAGAGTGGTTCAACAAATGACTCAAGAGTAAAAAAGTATTTGGGAAAATAACTACTCAAGTAAGAGTAACTTAAAGAGTAACTTAAAGAGTAACTTAAAGAGTAACTTAAAGAGTAACTCTTGGGACGTAGCATCTGGTTTATGATCTGAATTGAATGTGATGCTGCAGGAAACACAAATGTTCAGATTATTTCAGATAGTCACAGAAAGCTTTTGTCACTTTATGATGTCACAGGGGGAAGACGAAGCACAACTTTTACTTGAGTAAAAGTACTGTTACACTGTACTATACATTACTCAAGTAAAAGTACTGTTACTCGTGTGTTTGCAGTGGTCCGTCTGTACAGTGGTAAATACAAGTCTGTTCTGTTTAGTTTTGTGGCCGTCTCTATGGTGACGCTGTGGTTTGTCCAGGTTCGGCAGGTGAACACCAGCAGGTGAACAGCGGCAGGTGAACACTGGCAGGTGCTGTGTCTTTATGGTGTCAGAGTTCAGAGTTTTACAGCTCTCAATAAAAAAGATGTTTAATGTGATGATTAAACTCTGTCACGCTCCTCCAACTCTAAAGTCTGGAGGTTTAAGGCCACACACTGTGTGCAGGTGTACACCTGTCCTGACACCTGTCCTGACACCTGCCAAGAACCCTGACACCTGTCCTGACACCTGCCTGACACCTGTCCCTGACCCTGTCCTGACACCTGCCAAGAACCCTGACACCTGTCCTGACACCTGTCCTGACACCTGTCCTGACACCTGCCCTGAACCTGCCCTGACACCTGCCTGACACCTGTCCTGACACCTGCCAAGAACCCTGACACCTGTCCTGACACCTGCCAAGATCCCTGACACCTGTCCTGACACTGTCCTGACCCTGCCACCCTGACACCTGTCCTGACACCTGCCAAGAACCCTGACACCTGCCCTGACACCTGCCAAGAACCCTGACACCTGTCCTGACACCTGTCCTGACACCTGCCCTGACACCTGCCCTGACACCTGCCAAGAACCCTGACACCTGTCCTGACACCTGCCCTGACACCTGTCCTGACACCTGCCAAGATCCCTGACACCTGTCCTGACACCTGTCCTGACACCTGTCCTGACACCTGCCTGACACCTGTCCTGACACCTGCCAAGATCCCTGACACCTGCCCTGACACCTGTCCTGACACCTGCCAAGAACCCTGACACCTGTCCTGACACCTGCCCTGACACCTGCCCTGACACCTGCCCTGACACCTGTCCTGACACCTGTCCTGACACCTGCCCTGACACCTGCCCTGACACCTGCCCTGACACCTGCCTGACACCTGCCCTGACACCTGCCCTGACACCTGTCCTGACACCTGTCCTGACACCTGCCCTGACACCTGCCCTGACACCTGACACCTGCCTGACACCTGCTGACACCTGCCTGACACCTGTCCTGACACCTGTCCTGACACTGCCTGACCCTGCCCTGACACCTGCCCTGACACCTGTCCTGACACCTGCCCTGACACCTGTCCTGACACCTGTCCTGACACCTGCCCTGACACCTGNTCCTGACACCTGCCCTGACACTGCAGGTGCCTCTGACACCTGTCCTGACACCTGTCCTGACACCTGCCCTGACACCTGTCCTGACACCTGTCCTGACACCTGCCCTGACACCTG